TGTTCATAAGGATAGTTTTTTTGGTAAGTGAATCATCAATCAATTTCAAAATATTAAATCTGCAAGGCAGGTTAACGGAGACCAAGGAACTGGTGGCAGAATTGCAGCTACCGTGTTGCTTTCCATGGTCTTCACATCTGTGTACTCCTCTTAAGTCATGGTCTTCCACGAACATAATATAATAGCTCATCCAATTGAACTTGGTAACAATGGATTTAAGTCATGCTGGATAACATGCATTCTTATATTGCAATTTAAATATTTTGGTTTTGTTACACATTAAGATACATTCATCACCCTTCATTAATTTATCCTGATCACTTCAAAAAATCATTGTGAATTTTTGGATTCTCAAGATATTAAACGCTTTTACTTTTCGTTAGTACTTCTTATTTTAATTCCATAACTTTTTATGGCACACCTTAATTTTCACAATTTAAAATTCCTTTTCAGGCTGGTGTTGGGACTGCCAGAAAATCTGTACACATACAGAAACTTCCAAAAATAATAATACTGCACCTGATGCGTTTTGGTTATGGAAGCCAGGGAAGCACCAAGCTGCTTAAGCTTGTTTCACCATCTAATGAGGTGATGTAATATGTATCTGTATACTCTATCCCAGCCTTGTGTTCTGAACATAAAAAAGATAGAGGTAGGAAGTAGGAACTCGAGTGTGTGGAGTTTCCAGAGAAGTTGTGCTAATTATGAATTTTGATATATTTAGAGAGGATGACAATGGAAGAGGATTGATTTTTATTGTTGTGCAGGGTCGTAAATATGAACTGGTTGCTACAATTACTCACCATGGATGGGAGGCTTCAAAGGGACACTACACAGCTGATGCTCTATACCCTAATGGTCAGTGGCTACGATTTGATGATGCATCTGTCTTCGCAGTTGGACCAAATAAAGTGTTGCATGATCAGGCATATCTTCTTTTCTACAACCAGATGTGAATACAAGTGGTACATGTCTCTTGAGTGTGCTCTTCTTCCTTGCACGTTGTCATGTTCTTCTATATTCATCCACTTTAAAGGGGTTCTTAATGTGCTTCTACCACTGAGTTGGAAAATCTTATTTTAATTCAAAAAAGTGCATGCAGTGTACAAAGACTAATCCAACCAACATTTAAAATTGTTACCTTTCCGTATACCTTATTGCGGGAAACAATTAAAAACTAGGGTCTTTCAACTTTCAAGTTTTTTACATGTTGGGTAAAATTCTTTAACATTGCTCTCCCTCTCAGACTAAAAAGCAAAGGTTGGTACAAATTGTAATATAATAGGGCAACATCTTTTGAATATCTGAAGAATAATAACAAAAGGAAGAAACAAAACATCCTCATTATGATGTTAACTACACAGGACAGTTCCTTTTTTACATTTTGTTTATTGCGGATTAATCTATATCATTGAATGTGATAAATGATTAAGATGTTATATTCAATCAATGAATCAATAAAAAATTGATCTAGATTCATGTTGATTAGACTCTAAAGTGCAATGCGCATATTAGACGAGCTTTCCCAGTATTTTAACTTTTGCTTCAATAAAGCTACAGAAATTAGGTTGCGCCCTTGCTGGTTATAGAAGCTATAATTTAAAGCAATGACATAGCTCCCCTTGTTTTAAGATTTTACGTGGTCCAAAGAAAACAAACTTAGCAGCTTTAAGCTTCTTATTAACAATTGGAGGGTGGAAAAACAGAAAGGACTTTCTCAAATTAGGCCAAAAAGGATCTGACTAGTCAGTAACTTCTATATTCCACACTTAATATTACTTCTGCATAAACTGCAATAGGACTTGACATTTGTCTTCATTCTCCAATGAGTTGGTGATATCAATATCCATAACTTGCTAATATATCAGAAAGACTTGGACAAGATTCCTTAACTCATAATATAACAGTTTTGTGATAGTGGTTTGGCTGGTTGGTTGTTGTATTTGCTGCATTGGTTGCTGAAGATCTTATTTGATATCTGGGAGACACGGTAATGTTTTCAATGCACTTTGGGTAACATAGTGCCATGTTATGCTGTCCTTTGCCATAACCAAAATTATTGTCCTAAACAAGCTCTTAACGAAGTTATATATGCTTATTAAGCTACAAATGGATGCAACATAATCATGCAATTAACAAAAGAACATAATTTATTTCCATTGGTTGGATCCTTCAAAGTCATGGTTACAATTGTATAGAAATATAAAAAACTTGAAAGAATGTATAATCACACCACTCTGCTATGCCCCCCTAATTTCTTTACTAAGAAGACAATTCAGAAAAATACAAAAGCATTAGCCCCCTAATTTCACCGTAAAATTCTATAATCACCGATGGAGCAAAAAAATTTGAAATTAACATTTAACAGAAAAGAAGCACATCAGACATTGCAAAATGAGATCATGTGCTTCATTACTCAGCTTTCAAAATGTTCCTAACATGAGATTATGGATTGGTTCATTGTGCTAAGTGTTATAGAGTTATCTTCTTCTACTTGTGTATTATTATTACTATACCTTGGAACCCACCAAACTCTCACACTTCTATCAAGGCTTCCACTATAGAGCATAAACCCATCACCAATTCTATGAGATGACGAGGCTTGCAAGCATTTCACTGGCCCTTCATGGCCACTTAAGACACCAATTTTACAAAGCTTACCAAAATCCTCTCTCTTCCAAATACCAATGTTTTTATCAGCTGATCCACTACACAAAAACTCTCCCATTAGGCACATACACAAAACAGCCATGTCATGTGCCTTAGTCTCAGAAACAAGTTTCCAACTTTCATAACTCCAATTCTTTTCCCACCCTATAACAAAACCATCAGAACCACCTCCATAAACCCATTTCCCATCATCAGAAACAACCACAGAATTAAAAGAAACATCTTTATGACCCTCTAGTACCCCTTTTAAGCAATGTGAATCTTTCTTCCCTTCTTTCCCCCAAGCTTTAATCTTTCCATCGGCTGAAGCAGAATAGAGAATCCCTTTACATGATACCAATCCATTAATAGCATCATCATGAGCCTTAATTGACTCCAAACACTTCAAATCCGAAAGCCTCCAAACCTTAAGGGTCTTATCCCAAGAACCTGAATAAATCAAACCATTATATACACTCAAACAAGAAATACTGTCAACATGTTCAATCCACAAACGCTTGTGGTGCCTCCTTGTTTGAATATAATTGCTTTTCTTCATGAATTTTCCCCAATAGTCCTTTGTTGTTGGAAGAGTATCAGCAAGTTTGAAAACATTCTCTGAACTTCTTGAAACTTTCCAAACCCTGATCTTGCTATCTTGGTGTGCTGTGAAAACTTTGTTCCTAACGGATAGGAGTGCTTTGACAGAACCATCTCCATGGCCAAACTTCGCGAAAAACCTCAAATCTGGTTGTTGCCACACTATGATGTCTTTTCCCTGTGAAGCACTTAGTATGAATTCTCCACATACGGCTAAGCATGAAACAGAACCAGAATGGCCCGAAAGAACAGCTAAGGATTGTTGTGAATGTGAATTGGGCATGCTAATGCATTTTGTTGGGATTTGATATTTTACACCTTGAACTGAGTAACGTTGAGAGGAAAGAGGACTTTCATCGGTTTCGCTGTTGCTACAACTAATGATGCTGCTATTGCTAGAACTTGAAGATGGTACAAAGAAGGATGAAGTGTTATTAGAAAGTTTGGTTTTTGAAACAAGGGAATTAGAAAGTTTGTCTTTTGAAAGTGGAGAACTAATTGGGTCTTTTGAAACAGGGGAATCACTGAGAATATAAAGATTGGTTATTGAAACAGTGGATTTCATTGGGTCTTTTGAAACAGAGGAGTCTAATAGAAACGAAAGTTTGGTTTTTGAAATTGGGGAATCAATGAGAGAAGAAGAAAAAATGGTTTTAGAAACCGGGGAGTTCATTAAATCTTTTGAAACAGGGGAATCCTTGTTCATTGGAGAAGAAAGATTAGTTTTTGAATGAAATGGGTCGGAAAGAATGGATTTTGATACAAAGGGGTTCATTTTAATTGGATTGTATGAAGAAAACATAAGGGATTGAATATGACAACTATGGAAGAGGGAGGTGCAACGGTAACTTGACAAAGAGGTATTGCTGTTAATTAATGTCAAAAGTATTTGGTACTTGCCTTAACTTAAGGACCAATGTCCCTTTTCTAATGTTGCATGTTGGAGCTGTTGGTCTCTTTTTTGGCATATTTTATTCCACCAATTATACCCTACCAAATGCTAATATTGGAAAGATTATCTATTACTTGACTACTTGTATACTTATACAATTATTAATATATTTTGATTTTTTCAATGTTTTTTATAATTGTCTTCTTCAATAATGGGAAGAGGTCTAACTTTGTTAGAAATGTTAATCATGGTTTGAAAAAAGGGAACATGTTCATTGTGTTTCTATAACTTGCTTTCATTTGTAAAAGAAAACCTTAATCTAATTAAGAAAAGTGTAGTACACGAATCAGAAGACACAATAAAATTCTACAACATTTATCCTAAAATTACTATGTATATCATTAGTCATAATATATTTAACTTACTCTTCATTAATCGTTGATTAATTGCTATATTAGTTGGTGAGTTACTTAGATTAACATGACAAATTTTGAATTGAGATATTCAAAAGTTTGAAAAATATAATTATTTAAAACTCACCATCTTTATGACAATTTTAGAAGAATTTGAAAATCAATTCTTTCTTAAAGTATATATTTTATAATAAAATATCATGACATTATTTAATTTATATACTTCACTCTGTTTAGTGAGATAAAATCTCATGTACATGTTAAAAATTTGAGTTTTATTAATATTACTCAAGAATAGAGAACTTAAAATGATATGACTTTTCTAAAAAAGGCCTGAATGTTAAATTAGGAGATGTTTTTATATTGTTAGAAAATTGTAATAGAAGATATATTTTCTTTAGAAGTTGTGGTGGGTATTCCTCATATGAAAAAGTGAAAAATAAAAATTAAAAGTATGACTCTTTATCATTCGCTACGACTTTATTAAAAAACAAAAAACAAGAAAGCAAAGATACCAGAAATTCTGTAAGTTTTTTCCTGAAAAAGTTATATGAAACTAGATGCGCATTACTTACTTTGTTATAGAATAAGAGTAGTATTAGATATTAGATACAGTGTTTCTGTATTTTCATATCAGCACTTGTATGCATGTGTTTCTATCTTCTGTTCATCCTAAAATCTTCTTTTTTCTTAATAATAAAAAGGCATAGTTATGAGTTAAAAGGAAACTAACAGAGTCAATAACCAAATGAAGAAATAGGAAATATCATTAAACAGAAGAACATATTTTTCATCCCCATTTGTAAAAATTACAACAAGTTATAGGTCTGCAATAGTGTCCAGATCTTCACATTATATGTGTTTATTTTTTGAATATCTGAATCTACAATATATTATTGCCTTGTATGTTATTTTCTGAGTGAGATTTTCACTTTGTAATGCGGAAAGCATCGTCAACTTTTCTTGTGTCTGAGTTTACAAACTGCAATGAAATAGATTATAGTCATATAAAGAAACATTATTTTGAATTATAAGGGCACAAAATCAGAAGCTCAGATAATATGGAACAATAAATTGGAAGATTAAAAATCACTTTGTTCTGTTTCGTTGTTGTTCTTGCTTATTTAATGTTTAAATCAGATGTCTGTTTCTGTTTTGTACTTTTCAAGTTTCATAGGGAAAAAACCACTAAGAAATCCTTGATGAGTGGACAACAACATAGACACCAATGCATATTGAAGGGATACAAAAATTAAAGTGGTAATTTCCTAATTTGTTTTCTGTTGTGGCAATTGATATGGGAAAATAAGCATGCATGTAATTACTAATTACTAACCTCCAACTTTAATTCTGTCCTTGTAGCATGTCCTCTTAAGTATCCATATTTGGAAATCCTTTTCAGGCTCCAGGTCTTCACCTGTCAATGCACAAGAAAAATAGTAGTTAAAACCATATAAGCATAGTCCTAAAGTTATTGAGTTATGGATACATAAATATGTGTGTATATATAAAAGAGAATTGGTTACTTTATTTGGGAATTTGTCTAAGGTGAAGCCAGCCATGCCAATGATAGCGTGCACAGGGGCAGTGTAATTTCTGTGATTATATGTGTCAACTCCTTTTGCATCTTTTTGAGGCAAGGCAAAACATGCATTTTGATAAACAGAACAAGTCCTCTCATAGTTATGCACATGGCCGAATAAAACCAAATCAACCTGCTCCATGTTCATCATACAGTCAATTGCTATTACAAGGAACACTAATTAAGGTCTAACAATAAGGAACACTAATTATGCTAACCTTATTATGTAATAGCACCGGCTCGATGGCATTAATAAATTTTAGATCTGCATTAGCTAATCCACCACTATGGTACATCTGTCTATGTCTGCATGTAAAAATGATATGCTTAATATATTGATTCATAGATGAGAAGGCTATAGTTTAAAATGTTCACTAATCACTTACCCCATGAAGACTAGCCAAGGAGTATTTTTTCGATTAACCGATGCCAAGTCCTTTTGTATCCATTGATACTGCAATCGAAAATTATGTATGTCATGTGATTATTCAAATAAACTAGAAATGTGATCAACAAAATAGTAGTTTCCCTCACTTTACCTGCTCAGAACTTGGTGACCAATCATGCTCAGTAGATATTATTGTGAAATGAACACTTGCTTGTTCAATAGAGTACCAAGGCTTATCATTTTGTGGAACTGGCATTGGGAAGTATGTTTCATAAGGTACTCCACATTCACCACCAGAGTCAGCTTTACCATATACTGAACCGGAAGATATATAATCCCTGAGTATAAACAAGAGGTCTAGTAATGTTATGTTAAAATATTGTAACATTTTTCTTCTTCTATTATTTGTCATTAAAACAACAATGCATGTTATTCAATTATTAGTATATATGTTAATAGTGTGCGTTAAGTTAATACCTTTCATGGTTCCCTATTGCTGTCATGTAAGAAATTTTGGAAGCTACTGGGCTGATTAGATGAAGGAAATAATCCCATTCTGCTAGAAAACCTGTTGCATAACTTATGTCTCCAATGTGAAAGATTGATTTTATGTTGTTCGATTTTACATCATCGGCTATAGCTGTAATAACCGAATGAGCTCCTGGCTGCATCAAAATCAAGATAAAGAGCTCTTCAGTACATATTAGTATATGCATACTAATGCTGCTATTTTTGTTGAAGAAGCTATTTACCTGAATGTAGTGTTCATTTGAATCATCAAGAGGAGTCTTGCCCATATCGCCAAATGCAATGAATCTTAGATCTTCTGATGCTCCTCCAGCAGGTGGAGTTGAAAACTGGATTTGTTCACTCCAACCAACTGAGTCACTGCGACATTAACAGAAGAAAAATCAGTGATTTATTCATAATAGCAGACACAACTTCTAGCATAAACTCTTGCCTTGTTGACATTGAATGAGCGTGATATTACTCTAAGATCATTTATTAATGCACTAACATGGATGAACAAAAAGTTTCTCAAACCTTCCATATTTGTAGGAGAAGGTGCTTGAAGGTTTAAGTCCTGTCATAACTGCTGAATGGATGAATCCTGGGTCATGCCATCCAAAATCCTTGGCAGGACTTGGAACATCAGCAGTACCTGTTATTTTCGGATGGAATATATAATCATAAGTAAGATGATAACAATTCTTATCAAAATATGTAGTATTTAACTTTGTAATCAAGGTATTAGGAAGTCATTGTTTATAAAGTTTAGCATTAAGTTGATAGTGATATTCATGCTGAAAATAAAAGTATATGTAGAAGCATATATGAAATAAATACTCACTGCACATATCCCTTTGTGAAAATGTAGTGACTCCTGAAGTAACTTTTTTCCCATCTCCATATTGGATTTCCTGAGGTTTATTGTCTCCACTAACCCATGTCAATCTCATTGATGTTCCAGTTGAATCTGTGCTTGAGAGATGTCCATAAAGTGGCATCTTAGGATTTTCAAACTTTATAGGTATGGACCTTGCTACCAAGCAGGGGCTCAGATATCCACCAGTGAAGAATGCAAACTCAATCTCACTTCTAATGTTTACAACATGAAACTTTAGTGAACCACTGCACCCTTTATGTTTGCAACTCAGGTACTGTGGATCATTTTTCATAAATTGTGCCTGCATTTTCAATGTACAACATTACTACTACACCACATATATAGGGTATTTCCATGCTTCATCATCACATAACATCATTACCAATCTTACTCTCTTTTTTCACTTTGATAAATAATTACTCACAACTTTCTTCATTCATGTGCCACTGTTTTCATCTTCTAAAACATAAATACTTTATATGTAAGACATGGAATTCATTGATGAAAAATAATACTCGCCTGGAAATCATTGTCCCAAATATTGTCTCATTTCTTATCCCACCCAATTAGATTTTTTCATGTCATTTAAAAGATCTTAAATCATTGTTGAGTTATTTAACAAACTTTTAATATTAATTTAGAAATTGATAGCCCCAAGTATAAAACAACCATTAATAATTTAGGAAAATGCTAACCTCAATATATAAAAACTTGAAAGAGAAAATATGGATTAAGAAATAGCGGAAGTATGATTTCGAAAAACTAAAAAAATCAATGTATACTTTACCATTAATAAAATCTATCTAGAGGCTGAGATTAACATGACTAAATAACTAAATAAGAGAAGAGGAAAAGTAAAATATTTAAAAAGAAAAATAAGAATGTGCATGCATGAACATATACGACATGTCTTAAAACTGCATAAAAATAAAACAACCATCAATGTTATCACATGTATTAATGTTACAACATACATAATAAGATAAAACGAAACATTAATTAATTACTGAATTATTATCATAGCTATCCAATCACTTTTGGAAGGTTTATTAACGCCAGTGACGGTAACGGTAACAAACTCATCATTTGACAATGTAGATTTTGATGAGCTGATATTGATTTTAACAGAAGATCTTAGACGAGAACATTTTCCTAAGAGTACTCGTCTATTTATTAATCTGAAAGAGCTGTGTAACTGTGGTGCATGGCTGTAGTATTCATAATCACAAGTTCCAAAGGTGAAGGTGAAAATAAAGAAATTGGAGTTGCTGCATAGGTTGATGAACAACTAAGGTACAATAAAACAAATAAAATGGATACATATTTCATGGAGGAAGAAGAAGAAGAAGAACACAATTTAAGAATCACTAATATTGTATCAACGTTTCACTCTCTCGAATAGCTATGGCCAGTGTAATGAAAATTTTGACTATAGGGTAATATATATTATATATATATACAGAGTTGTAAACTCATACATAATTAAATATATTAGTTTGACTTCTCACAATTTAAATGATCAAAAAATTTTACTTTTTTTAAACTACTTTTTTTTAAAAACATTCCACTCTCACAATCAAAATTTAAATGATCAAAAAATTTTACTTTTTTTAAACTGATTTTTTTAAATGATCAAAATTAATAATTGCTTTTAACTTTATTTTTTGACTACTATCTTAGTAATTTTTCAGTGTGAAATTGAGATGGAATAATCTTTAAGCTTTTCTTATTTTTCAATGAAATAATCCTTAATTATTTTCTTAATAATTTTTATTCGAAAAATACATTCTCCGCTTATAATTTCAATAAGTAATGAAATTTTTTAGCAGACATTTGTTATTAGAAAAGGGACCATTTCATTTTTTTAACATAAATTTGTTCCCGGTATCATATTTTACGAAATTATTGCCTAGAAGTTATTTCAAAAGATATACAAATCATAATAACATTGTAAATCACAATCTGAAAATCGATCTAACTCCTAATAATTAGAATAAAATCTGGTCAAAAGGAACACAATAGTATATTGTATCTCTTAATCCGGTATGGTTATGAATTAACTAAAACACACACAATTAAGTAAAACTAAAAATCACAATCTCAATTTGCCTTGACTACAAACATTAAGCATTTGAAGAAAAAAAAAACAGTGAACTTTTCTATTAGTGCGCTCCTTCCTTAGTGAACTTTATTTTGACATGTTGAACAAGGATTACATGTCCCAAAAACTTCATGTTCTCATGTATCAAACTAATTATATTGCATCAATTAGTGTAAAAAAGTTATTCTATATTTTTACGATTTTTTTATTATTAACTATGTGTCGGTTTATAAATGGTTAGAGACAACATTGAAACACATAAAATGAAATAGGTTATTTTCATCGGAAAGCAAATCTATATGGAATTAGAACAAGGTGGGAAGTTTGTGATATGCGTTTAACATTTAGAAGTGCTCAATATACTAATTTGAATTTGTTGTAGTTGGGACCAATTTTCGATGGAATTATCATTATGTTTTCTGTAGTCAAAATATCGGCATTATTTTCTAACTCTCGAGATATGACAGAGTCAATACTAATGAATGTAACTGTTTATCAACCTAAATAAAAATAAAAAAGCAAGATATCAAACTACATAGTTCTTCTAATTCTTAATTTAATTAAAAACATTTAATAATAATATTTTTTAAAAGATATTGTTTTAAATATTTGAAAATAAACTAATAGAAAGATAATTAATCTAGAATTGTCTTCCCATTTTGAGGGATGATATAAACATTACTAATGTTTGTGACTACTTCTCAACCTAGAACAGAAAATAAGTTAATACACGAATGGTAATGTGACTATTTAATTATTAAATTAATTTTTACTTAGGAGATAATTTTAATAATTAATAGAATTAAGACCAAATAATCAACATTGTGAATCGCCCCAAAGTCCCACAACATGCTAGAGGTGGTATAGAAGTCTTAAAACAATTTCTGAACTCGAGTAAGAAGTTAAGATACAACACAAGCCACAATAATTATTAATAAATTCGAACTAGTTTTTAGCCTAATGAGGGTATTATGTCATTAGTTAGATCGGTTTACTCTGTTGACATTAAAATACTCCAAAAAAAAAATTATAATACTAACTAACATTATTTAATAATTTTATTTTCAATTTTAGAAACATTATCATCACAAATTGTACATACTTGAAGTGTGAAAAGTTTTACTATAACAAAACTTCACAAATAAGTTGAATGATTAATCAAACAACATAAGTATTATGCTTTAATTTAGAGATGATAAAATTATTCACAATACATCCAATTTCAAGGAAATTAAATTCATTCAAATTCATCAACTAGAGCTAATGAATTTAAATTGATATAATTAAATGTATAACTTTAGTAATGAATGGATTTGAATCTATTCATTATATTATATATAATATATATCCATTAATATATTCATTTGGATTGGTATCTAATCTATCCAAAAAACAAATATTCAAAAATGATGTTCTTTGTTTTTTAATTTCATTCATTATCTCAACTCTCACTTTCTTGTAGTGTTTTTTATTCTCACTTTCACTGTTTTATTAAATTGAGATCAATTATAGGACATATAGATGTAATTAATATTAAAAGTTTATTCTTAAATATATAACATATATAAATATATCTTAAAAACGATACATGTAGAACCATAAAAGTCAAATGCTCAAAGAATATTGCAGAGAAGTATTTTTTGAAAGTTCAAAAAGTCATTTTCTTTAAAAGTGTTTCTTAAAAGTTAAAAGCGCTTTTTCAAAAAAATATACTTTTAAAGTTGATTTAAAAATGTTTTATTGAAATATTTTTTTAAAAGAATGATATTTCTCAAAAGTGTTTCTATTTATAATTAAAAAAACAAATGAATTGAATATTCATCCATCCAAATTCATTAAAATGGATTCATGGAAGGATTAGATGAATTTAAATTTATCTGTTAAGTTTAAATATGGATGAATTAAATGATTTAAATTGATTTATGCGAATTGGTAGACGACCTCCTATCTATCAATTAATATCCAAATTCAAATTCATCTATTTACCACTCATATTTTAATTGCACCAAAAAACAAAGGAATAAGTTTAAAATTTAATTAATTAACTAAGATTTTGATACAACATAATATAAAAAATAAAAACATAACTAGAATAATAATAAACATAACTATAAATAAGTTGAAAATATGGAAACTTATTTTTGTTCAAAACAATGTTGTTTTGACTTTTGTTTTACAAATGAATGAACTCAAATAATTGAATCGGACGACTAACAAATTTTATGTTTTAATTGACTAAATTAATCCACTTCATATCATTTTTATACATGTTTAGTCAGGTGAGCATCTCAGAGTAGTCACGTGTCCAGTTCCCGGTCAAAATGATCGGACCAATGAGTCACATCTGAGTTTAATTATTAAGTTTGTACTCTTCCTATAAAATTCTTTAGAATTAATATATTTAAAAGATTTTAACAATATTCAATCTTTATTAACATCATTGTTTATTATTATTAATAATAATATTTGATTATTATTATTATTCAATTGTTAATATATAATTATTATTTAATTATTATTATTATTATTAGAATTAAAATATAAAAACATTTATTTATTGTTATAGAAATAATTAACCCGTAAAAATGGATAAGATGGGGATATGAAATTTACTTGCACCACATTTTAAATTGCCCCATTTCCACTAATGGAATGCACCCACAAAGGGAAGGGAAGAGAAAACGAGAATGAGAGAGGTGATTTTTTTCTCTATGAATTTTTCATTTCTTTTTTTCCTGTTATTTACAGCAATGTATTTTATAACTTATTATTAAATACTTTTGTAACTTCTTATTAAATAGGTTATGTGGCTGATTAATTAAAACAAATTTGTTGATGAGCAGCAACTTTGTAACCCATGAGTAATAAAAATAGCCATATAACATTTAAATAGTTACAATATTTTTTCAATAAAAATATTGTATTATTTTTCAAGTCATCAAAATAACTGTAACAATATCAAAATGTAAAACTAATTATTTTACCACAAAATCTGCCATTAATTTTCTTCACTAAGTTTTTCACTCAATATTGGATAGAAAACATAAAAAGCATGAGTTTATCTTCTTCATTAAGTTTCTTCACTGAGATTATCTTCTTCATTAAGAAAATCCGCCATTAATCTTCTTGCTAAGTTTATCTTTTGTTCCCATTTTTCTTTCATTCCCTCTATTGAATACATCCAAACTATACAAAAGATTTTTTTTGTTCCATTTTCTTTCTGCCCCGTTA